GGCGCGATCCTCCCACCCCACCTGCTCGGACCTCGTTCGGGAGTAGACAAGCGCAGTCCACTACTCGCAGAGTAACTACTCGCAAATGGCCTGGATCCGCCGCGGGTCGAGGGCAGAAAATCCACCCAAAAAATAACCACCCCGACACGCGAGGCCTTCAGCAAACGCGCCTGAAGAAGGAATCGAACAGGGCAGGGCTGTTCAAGCAACGCCCAGGGCCGTTTAGTAAACGCCCATTGTCCGGTCAGGGTGGTTTTTCCTCCCTTGAGCGGGAGATCCACGATCCATTACACAAAGGCACTTTGCGACTAGTGGAACGCGCTCGGCGAGGGAGGCCCGGAGTCGCGAGGCCTCTTCGCCGCGGGCACGTTGCCAGGCACGACCCTGGGGCAGTTGAAGATGTTGGCGGCGGCCTGCTCCCGAGGGGAGGGTCTGAGGGAACCACGGCGCTTGCATCCACACTTGCACGGTTTCCCCCTGGGGGACCCGACGAGGAGGAGAAGGAGGAGGAGGAGGAGGAGAAGGAGGAGGAAGAGGGGGAGGGAGGAGGGATGAGGGAGGAGGGAGGAGGGAGGAGGGAGGAGGAGGAGGAGAAGATGGAGGAGGAGGAGGAGGAGGAGTAGGAGGAGTAGGAGGTCGTCTGCGGAATGCAGATCTGGAGGCTAGGTTCGCCGGCTGCACGGGGATCAAAAGCATTCCGGCGCCTCCCAGGGATGCAAACTGGCAGCTTCTCGACGACGCGGGCCCCAGTATTGCCGACACCGCGCGCACCGTACACTCGCGAATGGACGTCTCCGCTCTCGGGGGCTGCCAGGGGCTGCCGAGCCCACAGATGATGTAAACAACGCTGGAGCTTTTTTGCTCGTCGTCGTCTTGGAAGTCGAGATCTGTTTCTCCCGTTTTGGGGTCCGTGTGTTCCAGCTGTGAGATTCTCTCGTTCGCGCCGTTTTCGGTCCGGTTCCGTGTTGTACTGTCGTGGTTTGGGGCTGCCGTCGCTGTTCCGTTCTGGTTGGCCGAAAAGCGAACGACTGAAAACTGTAAAAACAACACCCCCCCAGAATTGTGAACATCGACTGTGGCCGAGCTCACCTCCCGTGATTGTGGATTCGTCGCGCCATGTGGTGCGCTCTGTGGGGCCTCGGGGCCCGAAAAAACGAGCCCCGAGCGGACGCTCCGCCTTGAGCGTCCGCCGCACGAGAGACTTCCAGCTCACAATGGCGAAATGCAGATCGCCTCAGACGTAAACGATCGGAGGTCCGCGCGGCTTGAGGGGAAGAGGGAGGCTCCTGCTCAAGGCCGGGCACCAGCGTCAACTCGTCAGGGGGTCATCCTCGTCGTCGTCGTCGTCGACCTCGTCGTCGTCGTCGTCGATTCTGTCGACCTCGTCGTCGTCGCCAATCTCGTCGTCGTCATCGTCTCTACCTCGCGGGCGGCGTCTGGCACGCGGGTTCGCCGACGCCCCCTCGACCCAGCGTGGGAGCACCCTCTGGGTTGACCCTCCACGCGCCGCATATTCGTTAGCCAGACACGATTGGCGGTTCGAGGAAGAGTAGTAGGAGGAGGAGGAGGAGGAGGAGGAGGAGGAGGAGGGAGGAGCAGGAAGGGAGGGCTGTGCCCGACATCCCCCGAGCAGTCGCACCAGATCTTCTTCCGAATCTTCCAGGTTTAGAAGGAGGTAGGAGCGCACCGATGGCGGCATCTCCACGCAGAGCCCAGCCGGCCTGTGATGTACTGCGACGGATTCGCGATCGCGCCCCCCTTGCGCGCCGCATCTGGCGACGGATGACCGAATCAGTGTACGGCGTGCGGGGGTAAGCGGACGCCGCCCTGGGCGGGCAACATCGCTGTAGCATCTCGAAAAGACTTCTGGTCGCACGCAATCAGGGTCACATCGTTATCTGCAAACTTCCACCGAGCAAGCTTGAGTGCCACCCGCACCAGTCATCATCTACTGGAGTAAGCCCCTCGATCGAAGCGTTTTCGGAGCTGGGCACAGAGGCACCTCGGACTAGCCGTGAATAGATGTGTCTGCTGCAGTTTCACTCTTAGCTTGAGGTGCTCCAGGACATGGATGATATGGAATCCTAGTCGCTGCATCGCCTTGCCCCTGAACATGGGAACTGGACAACGCCAGATTCTTCTGCGCCCTCCAAAAGCTCACACAAGACTTGAACAACAACTGCAGCAGCAGCAGCCACAGCAATGATTGTAAGACTGATCGCTCTTGATTGCCCGAGTGTCGTTCAACATATACACCCCAAGCCCTGGAATCTCACTCTCTTCGTTTGTGATCGTACCCCTTAGGGTGCTGGCTGTCTTCGTGCCAGCTCTTGGGTGAAACCCAAGTCGGGTAAGACGACAGGGTCGGGCCCGCGGACCCTGAAGCGCAGGACGAGCGCGGACCCTAACGAAGGCCGATCGGGCAGGGGCGGATCTCCAGCAACGTCGACCCAGCGGACCCTGACAACGGGCGGGTCGGCCGGGCAGGCCCTGACGGGCGGGCCCATCAGCGGGCGGCCGACAGCAAGCGGGTCGGGCGGGCGGAGCTCGGGCAGGGGCGGATCTCCAAGCAATATCGACCAAAAGGACCCTGATCACGGGTGGGTCGGGCGGGCGGCCCCGTGAAAACGGGCGGGTCGGGCAGGCGGACCCTATCAAGCGGGTCGGGCGAGCGGGGCAACAGATCGCGGATCCGGCTTGTGGATTGAAAGACGGGGTCTCAGGCAAGGAAGTTGTTAAGAAGGCATGAGCGAGAGCACGGTTCCAGAGCGGCGAGAGCGCGAGGTCTGAGTGGGTGATGAGAATGGTCCAGGCAAGGGCACCACTTCTGGAATCGGCCCTAAAACCCCACCCACATGCCCCCAAGATATTCTAAGAGGCTCCAGAGAGGCAGCCCAAGATCCCCATATTCATCCAAGAGGCTTCTGAGCCAAGATATAGCTTCCACGATCGTCTCAAACACTCACTCCTCGTGTGGGTCGGCGGAATGGCGTAAGCCCCTTGAATAAACTACGAGGGACTCTCTATCAAGAACGCGATTCCAGCACAAGATGCGAGAAGTCTCAGGCGGGAGCCGTTGTTGTCTGAGTTTGAGTCTCCGACATTTTTCAGACGAACGATTGGGTGCGAGCATCGGGGGACGGACTTCAATTGAAAAACAAGGCGCACCGAAGGGGGGATCAACAAAAAGTACCCCCAAGAAGTGAGAACTCGAAACAAAACTATAAAAAAATGTCGTCGTCTGCACGCCAGCACTGTGAAGCGCACGCAGCGAAGCTGAGAGTGATGGAGATTCTTGTTCAAGGAGCATGACGAGGAGGAGGGGGCGAAGGGGCTGGAGGGAGAGAAGAAAAGAGAATGAGAGGGCAGAGCGGGAAGAAGCAAGCTAGGTACGCTCGCGCCATATCTGGCATCCTACCCCATCCCACCCATCCCTGTCCATTGCGCTGTTTTGTCACTATCCGCGGACGCGGATCACAGCAGACCTGAAAAAAAGACCCCATCATGCTAAAATGGGAGCTGGGTAAATCCGACGAATCTTCAACGTGTGAAGACGCTGGCGTCGTCGTCGTCGTCGTCGCCAGTCCCAAGAGAACTGATGAAGAAGAAAGAGCGTCGTAGCGATTGCGAAAAGAAGCCCCTTCCCGTTACCCCTTCCCTGTCTGGTGGGGGGGGGGAGGGGAAGGAGGGGGCGTCCGGGGTCGGAATACAGCCCCCAGGGGGTCCCAGCGGGTCCTCGGGGGGGGGTCGCCAGCGGGGGTCCCAGGGAATGTCCAGCCTTCAGGGTCGGCCGTAAGGCCTTCGCAGTAAGAGAAGGGGGAAGAGAAGGGGGAGGAGGAGGAGGAGGAGGAGGAGGGGGAGGAGGAGGAGGGGGAGGAGGAGGAGGAGGAGGAGGAGGAGGAGGAGGAGGAGGGGGAGGAGGAGGAGGAGGAGGAGGGGGAGGAGGAGGAGGAGGCGAAGGAGGAGGAGGAGGAGGAGGAGAAGGTTGCGGATGAGCAGGAGGATGAGCAGGAGGAGAAGGAGGAGGAGGGAAAGGAGGACGAGGGCGAACAGCAGCGGGAACTGGAGTGGCAGGAGCGGCTGTCGCGGGAGAACCAGGGAGGCGGAGGGGGGGAAAAGAGGTGGGCGACAGTGATGAGGAAGGGCGAATGGCTCGGATCCAGAAAAGTGGCCCGCGCTGGGGCGAGAGCGCCATTCTGAGCGACGGGAGCAGAGCCGCGATCCTAAAACGAGGCCCACGCTGCAGCGGGAGCAACACTTTGGAAGGACCAAAAACGCTCGGATTGGAGAAACACCTGCCGTCGGAGTCTGCAGTAACGACGGGCGGGGAGAACGCCTTCGACGCCGAAAATGGCACTTTTGGGGCGGCGGACTGCCAACGCCCTCAAAGGCTGGCCAGAGAAAACCGCGAAGGACGGGCCGCAAGAGGCAAGGACGCAAGGCTACCCAAAGGACATCCGTGCGTCCTTACTATGAGTTTTGACTGTAAGAGATGTCAACTTAGGAAATCCTCTGTGCAAGCACAATGCACGGAGAGGGTGGGACACTCTCGACACGTCTTCGGGGGGGAGGGGAGAAGAGCACTCATGCTGCGCACTGGAGCCCAGGGGGGCCCCGATAGAGAGACCCTGGAAACGACAAGACGACTCGGGACCCGATTCCCTCAAGACCCGTTTGCTCCATGGCGAAATGTGTTTTTCCCACGGCAATCACATCTGCACAGAATCTGACAGACGACGGTGGGTACAGAAAACGTGACCGGGCGCAAGATGCTCCCCAGAGGAGCGGCAAATGCCGCACGTCGTATGTACAGTGTCGTCGCTTCATGCCGAGCTTCGGGAGTCATCTGCGCACCGCCCACAGCCCCACGGAGCCAGAGCCCATCGCGAGCGCGAGCAAGCCGAACATGCTCATCAGGCGGTCCCCCCGGAACTGCATCAGGTTCAGCAGCCAGGGGCTCCCCGCGAGCTGCCGGGCGAAGGCGTCGCCGGAAGCTTCCATCAGGAACGGCGCCAGCCTTTCCGCGTCCACGTACGCCTCCCTGGCGGAGAGCAGGTCCACTTCCACCTCCTCCTTTCGGGGCATCCAAGAGGGGGGCGTCCAAGAGGGAGGTTCTCAAATCATGGCCCGAGGCATTTGCACGGGTGAGGGGGGGGGGACCAGGAGACGTGTTGAAACACGGAGAGGAGGCTGTGACACCCGGGGAAGTATCATGGCGCCGGCCATGATATCCTTCCCCCCTTGACTACCTGACAAACCACCCCAACCCAACCCGAACACCCCCAAATTTCGGGTTGGGGGGGATCGGGTTCCATATGTGTTATTCCAATGTTTCCCGAATCCTCCCAACTGGGAATGGAGGGAAAATTGGAGCCTTCGGGTTGGGTTGTGGTGGTTTGGTGGGCGGTGACCCTTAACTACCTACCAGACCACCCCGACCCAACCCGAACACCCAAATTTCGGGCACCGTCATGGTCATCACCATCAACCCCCTCTTGGCCGCCCCCGATCCTTGGCTATCTGCAGGTCCCCGCCGAGCAGCTCCCGCAGCGCCGCGGGGTCCAGGGTCTCCCCGCCGAGCCGGTCGACGTGCAGCACGCCCACCTTGGAGCAGGGACCGACCGTCCCGGCATTACTATAGGCCTACGACGAGATACTACCAGAACCCAAACATGCTCTAGAACAAAAAAATACCCCAGGGCGACCCTACCTAGGAGTTGGAACCCCGAGAAGAGCACTAGTAGTAGTAACGGTAAACGCCGTCCTCCTTCTTCTCCTCATCGTCGCATGCTATGCTGTGCTAGGCTATGCTATGATATGCTATGATGCGCTATACTATGCTATGCTATGGTATGGTATGATATGATATGATATGAGATGATATACTGCGCTATGATATGACATGCTATGATATGATATGATCGTGATATGCTATGATATGTTATGCTGTGCTGTGCTATGCCAGGCTATGATATAATATGTTATGAAATGATATCATATGGTATGCTGCGTTATACCATGCTATGATATGATATGATATGCTATGATTTGTTGCGGTACGTTGCGCTATGATATGCTGTACTATGCTATTAGTCGATATGATATGTTAGGATATGGTATGATGTGCTATGCTATATTATGTTATGATAATGCTGCGCTGCGCTGCGTTAAGCTAAGCTGAGCTAAGCTAAGCTAAGCTAAGCTAGGCTAGGCTAAGCTAAGCTAAGCTAAGCTAGGCTAGGCTAAGCTAAGCTACGCTAAGCTAAGGTAGGCTAAGTCAAGCTAGGCTGAGATAAGCAAAACTAAGCTAAGGGGGCGCAACTGGGGGAACCGCGGGGCGGATACTGGGGGAACCGCCCGGGGCGAGGAACACTGCCCGGCCCCTTTAAGCCCAGCGAGTAAGAACCCTCCAGGCAGAGCCTAAGTAGGGAACAATGTTCTTAGAACATGAACCGATAGGTTTAAGCAAGACCAGTCTCGGCCAGAAATGCTCTAAGATTATTTCGTGCAGACCACCAAAGGTTCTTAGAACCTTCTTTGGTGGGCCCATAGGGAAGCCATCCTGCTCCTCCTCCTCCTCCTCCTCCTCCTCCCCCTCCTCCTCCTCCTCCTCCTCCTCCTGGACAATTCGCCACTGCTTGACACCTGCAGCAGCTGCCCAAATGGCGTCGGGCGCTGCCCCTCCGGGGCGGCGCCACCGCCCTCGGGGCCTGCCGCGGGGCCCGGCGGCGCGGGCCTCCTGCGGGGGGCCAGCTCGAATCACAAGGAGGAGGTAATTAGGAGAAGGAGGAGGAGGAGGATGAGGAGGAGGAGGAGAGGGAGGCGGAGGAGGAGGAGGAGGAGGAGGAGAATGGACGAGGAGTGAGCATGCGAGGGCCTCGGACGGCCATGTTTTAGCGTTTCTCGAACGAGGCTGGCCAACGAGAGTGGCCGAGGATGGGCCGAGCAGGCAGGGATGCAGGGGTGCTCTTGGGGCGGCTGCCCATCCTTCCTGCGTGGGTTGGCTGTACACCACCACCACCAGCTCCCTCACCGCCTCCCTCCCCGGGGCACGGGAGAAGAGAGAGCGAAGGGCAGAGAAGGGAGGGGGATGGAGGTTGTGGTCAGCGCTGGACCGCCCTCCCTGGCGCGCGGAGCGCGCCAAGGGCGGCGCCAGAGGCGCCGCCGGGGGGGCCCAGCGCCGATCCGAGAAGTCCGCGCGGACCTCCGAGTTTTCATGTTTACGTCATTCTTCGCTCCCCTAAAGAAGAGAGAGCAGGGCAGAGCGAGAGGGAATGGATTGGGCGCCCGGGTTATCCGGGGTAACTCGAGCCTGGGGTAACTCGGGCTTGGATTCCCGAAAAAACAGACCCGAGTTAGCCATGACCCGAATTACCCCTCATGATTTGGGGCTCTGCACGCCTGAACTATCCGAGGCAACCCGGGCCCGGGGCAACTCGGGCTCGGCATCCCGAAACACGAGACCGAGTTAGCCCTGACCCGAGTTACCCCTGACGATTCGGGGCTCTGGATGGAGGTGGTGCTGGCGCGTGTTTTCGGGGCCCGCACCTGAGCTCCAGCCGGCGGGCCCACGGCCCGGTCTCCACGAGCACTGCGAGCGGCTCCGCCCCGGCGCCGGCGAGCAGCGGCGCCGGCGCCGCCGCCGCGCCAGCCGCGGGGCCCCCCGGCGGCCCCGGGCTGCACGGCGCGTCTGGCATTTGGTCGGGCATGTCCTCCTACAGGCAGGTTTTGGGCGGAAAATGGAAATTAGACCACAAATATTCAGAAGTAGTGGAAAAATACTCGAGAAATCGTCCCCAGCCTATGTTTTGACTGTTTTTGAGCACTCCTCCTGTAGAGGGACGTGCCCGACTGAAGTCTGGCACGGGGCCTGGCAGGCTCGCCGTGGGGTCTTCCCTGGGGGGCGGCCTCTCCAGCGCGATCCTGGTGACGTGCCGGGCCATCAGCGCGTCGCGCAGGAAGACGCGCGGGTGCTGCTAGAAGTGCCCCTGGCTCAAGGCAGGGAGGCCCCCACGGCCTCCAGAGCACCCTTCACGAGGCACAGGGGGTCCCAGGGGCTCCAAAATGGAGCGAAAAGCTGGGGGCCATTGGGCCAGGGGCACAGTCAGCAACGCCCGAGACGTGGTACTTCCACACGACGAAGACGTGGAGCGCCACCATGGCGTTCGCGCTGTCGGTGAAGACGCTCATCGCCTCGAAGGACGCCGAATTCCCCAGCCCTGGGTGCAGGATCTTGAGGAACAAAAAACAGCGTAAACATGAACTTGCGGAGGTCCGCGCGGATTTCCTTGGATCGGCGCAGGACTTCTTTTCCTGGCGCGCGGAGCGCAGCAGGTGCGGCGCTGGAGGTGCTGCCGAGTGGGGCCAAGCGCCGATCCAAGACGTCCGCGCGGAGCGACCAAAGCTCAGGTTTTCTCATGTTTTTCTTCTTCGAGGATCAACAAGTTGGTCAGCTGCGTGCCGGCTAGCTCCTGGGAGAAACCAACAGGTACCGATACCGCCACTCCCCAGACCTCTTCTGGGGTGCGTCCTGACCACGATTTCGAGGCGGATCCAGCGGTGGCGACGAGGGCCTACCAGGAGGCCCCAAGAGAGAAAAAAACAGCGCAAGGATAATCTCAAGGTATTTAATAACCCCGCCCCAATAATGGGAGAATCCTCATTCTTCCCGCTGGCTTATTGACGGAACAGGACCCCGACAATACTAGGAAAATCGGAGGTTGGGGGGTGAGATCGCAGTGGAACGGAGACCCCCAACCTGGAAATCGTTTCGTTTCGCTAGTGTCGTGCGTGCGGGCGAGGCGAAGCTGCGTGGGCGCGCGAGAGGAATGAACCCGCCGTTGCTAGGGCGAAGTCAAGACAATGTTGCTCCCCCCTCCGTCCGTCCGTCCGTCCGTCCGTCCGTCCGTCCGTCCTTCTGGCGGTGGCCCTAGCGGTGTCCCGCGGTGTCCCGTGGTGTCCCGTGGTGTCCCGTGGTGTCCGCCGCTGCTAGGGCGAAGTCAAGACAAGTGATTCTCCTCCGTCCGTCCGGCGGTGGCCCTAGCGGTGTCCCGCGGTGTCCCGTGGTGTCCGCCGTTGCTAGGGCGAAACCAAGACAAATCATTCTCCCCCGTCCGTCCGTCGGTCCAGCGGTGGCTCGCCATGTCCCGTGGTGTCCCGTGGTGTCCCGTGGTGTCCGGTGTCCCGTGGTGTCCCGTGGTGTCCCGTGGTGTCCCGTTGAGTGAGATCGATAATTGGATCGATAGTGAGATCGATGTGGTGCCTCGAGGTGTCCCGCGATGCCCCGTGGTGTCCCGTGGTGTCCCGTTGAGTGAGATCGATAGTGAGATCGATAGTGAGATCGATAGTGAGATCGATGTGGTGTCCCGAGGTGTCCCGTGGTGTCCTATGGTGCCCCGTTGAGTGAGATCGATAGTGAGATCGATAGTGAGACCGATAGTGAGATCGAGAGGTGTCCCGCGGTGTCCCGTGGTGGCCCGTGGTGGCCCGTGGTGGCCCGTGGTGTCCCGTTGAGTGAGATCGATCATGAGATCGACAAGTGTCCCATGATGCCCCGTGGTGTCCCGTGGTGTCCCGTGGGGTCTCGTGGTGTCCCGTTGAGTGAGATCGATTGAGTCCGATGTTGGTTCCCCCCCTCTCCCCCCCCACAACCTCCTGATCACCCGAAGGGTGGTCGTACAGGTAAGTATTGCACCGCGGCGGCCACCGCTGCTGATCAAGGGGGGGGATGAGGATCCCAGATAGTGATGCGGATGATGAGGGGTAGGGCGAGGAGGGGAGGGACGAGTCGAATTGCCAGCCGAGAGCTTCAGGGGGGGCATCATGAAAGACCTCTTGAGGGTAGCGGTAGCGGTAGCGGCACCTTTTCCTCCTCCGATTAACATTGGGGAAACGGGTCCAGGACTTAGGTCGGGCATGTCCTCCTACAGGGGGATGATGAACCAAAAGTTTAAAGAAACAATACGCAGAAATTGTCCAAAAAATGTCACCAAAACATCCCCAGAACATGTGTTCACTAATATTAAAACATTTCCCCTGTAAAGGGGGACACGCCCGGCCTCATCCTGGACCCTCGGGCCTCCCCCCAGGGCCAGCTCTTCCTCCCGAGACTCGTTTTCTGACAGCCTTGTGGATGCCAACACAACGGACACCCTGACAATCCGATCCTTGACTTGAGAATGTGGTTCACATGCTTGAAAACATGATACAGATGTTTAAACTATGGTTTTTAGCATGCTTAAGACATGCTCAATCATTTGGCAGCATGCTTCCCTTCCATGGAATCATTGGCAGCATGCTTGCTTCCTTTGGAGCTGGGAATACAGCAGCATGCATGCTTCATTGGGGCATGCTTGCTGGAATCATTGGCAGCATGCTTGCTTCATTGGCAGCATGCTCGTGTACAGCTGGGAATCATTTGGCAGCATGCTTCCTCTCCATGGACCGTCGTCCACAGTGACAGCCCTGCAGGGGCCCACGGAGGGCCCCGAGAGCCCGGGCACGGCGAGAAACCTCATACCCCAAGAGGGGGAGAAGGAGGAATGGGAGGAGGAGGGGGAGGGGGAAGGGGGAGAAGGAGGAGGAGGAGCAGAGGAGGAGGAGAGAAGGAGGAGAGGAGGAGGAGGAGGGGGAGGAGGAGGAGCAGGAGGAGGAGAGGAGGAGGAGGAGGAGGAGGAGGAGGGAGAGGAGGGAGGAGGAGGAGGAGGAGGAGGGAGGAGGAGAAGAGGAGGAGGAGGAGAGGAAGAGGAGGAAGAAGTGAGGAGAAGGATGAGGAGGATGAGGACGACGAGGAGCACGAGGAGGAGGAGGAGGAGGAGGAGGAGGAGGAGGAGGAGGAGGAGGAGGGGGGGAAAGGGGAAGGAGGGAGGCGGGAGGATCGGCATGGCAGAATCGGAGCTCCAGCACGATGCCCAGCTGCACCTGAGGGAAGCGGGTCCTGGACCCCCGGGCCTTCTCCCTGGACCAGGTCTTCACCCTGATTCGCTTTCTTCGTTTTCGTTGTTTGTATTATGTTTAGCATCGTTTATGTATAAACGTTTATTCTATATTGCTCTTTTATATACACAAACCCATATATACAAATATGATATGTATATGTATATACATATAGATTATGGATTCGCTTTTCATGCTTCATTATTTGTTGCTGTAGTACTAGTTCTGATATATTGATTTTTTTTCTGGAGTCTTCATGTCTACATGTTTCTTTGCTTGACAGGTCGTTTTCTGACAGTCCTGGGGGCCCGCGGAGGGCTCCCAGAGCCCGCACAAACGGCGCACAAGAACCTCAGCACCCACCTCCCGCGGGACCCGCCTCCCCCCCTTGACTACCTACCAAACCACCCCAACCCAACCCGAAGACCCGAATTTGACCCGAATTTCGGGTTGGGGGGGGGACGGGTTCCATGTGTTTTTTCAATGTTCCCCAACCCCCCCCCCACTGGAAATCGAGGATAATTTTGGACCTTCGGGTTGGGTTGGAGTGGTTTGGTGGGTGGTGACCCCTTGGGCCATCGGAGCTCCAGCGCGATGCCCAGCTGCACGCGCCGGCGCATCTGCAGCGCGGCGCGCCGCAGGCCGGCGCAGCGGAACACCTCGTGCGCCGCAGCGCCGCCGCCGCCGCCGCCCAGCAGCGAGGGGAGCCGAGGGGGAGGAGGAGGGGGAGGGGGAGGAGGAGGAGGAGGAGGAGGAGGAGGAGGAGGAGGAGGAGGAGGAGGAGGAGGAGGAGGAGGAGGAGGGGGAGGGGGGAGGAGGAGGAGCAGGGGAGGGGGGGGGGCAGCAACGACAGGTGGAGCCGCACCTTCTCCTGGGCGGGCTGGGGGCCATCGGGCCCCCAGCGGCGAAAAATGGACGACTGGGGGGGTCGATGCATCTTCCCCTATGCTTTTCCCCCCGACCGCTGCCCCTGACGCGGGGGGGGGGGGGGGCCTGGCCCAAGGGGCGGGCACCGGCCCAGGAGGAGGAGAGAGGCACCGATATGCCCCTGCCCTCCTCTCGCGTTTTCGCCTTGCGGGGAGCACCCAGGACTCCCGCGTCGCCACGGCTGGCCTTGCCCTCGAAGTTCTGGTCGGAGCGCTCTCTGGGGGAGGTCTGGGGACTGGCGGTAATCGATAGCCTTGGGTCGGGCAGGTCCCCCTACGGGCGGTTTTCCGGATGACAAAGATACTTTCAAAAACATCCTTTCGGAAATCAGCACCGAAACTAAAAGAATCGAAAAATCGTCCCCAGATTATCGTTTGCCTATTTGGGAGCACTCCTCCTGTAGAGGGACATGCCCGACTCGAGTCCAGGGCCTGGCGGTAATCGATAACCTGTGGTTTCCACACGCTGTCGCGCGCGAGAAACCACATCCGCAGCCGCGGCCTCGCGGGCGGGGCCCCTGGGCCGTGGCCCCGCGGTTGCGGGGCCGTTCTGCAGCGGATGCCCCTCGCGAAGCGCAGATGTTGTCGGTCCCGGGATCTGGATAGATATGAAGGGGCCCTGGGACACACAAACAAATAGACACAAATAACAGGATTCCTTCTATTTTCCCATATTTCCGGGGTTTTTGCCTTCCCCCCCACTTCCTATACTTTCCCATATTTTCTGGGGAGTCGACGATTAGTTGTGTCTGTGCGCCTGTTCCCCTCCTGAAGATAGGCTCCTGGCCTCCGAGGCCACGTGTTGCACCCGTGCCCTGCTTCCCCTGGCGGCGCCCAGGGCGGGGTGGGGGCAGCAAGGGCATGGATTGAACGTCGATCGCCGAAGGAGGTCCGCGCGGATCTCGTGGGCCAGCGCTGAACCCCCTTCCCTTCGAGTGTGAGATTGACTGCAGACTTGATGCACCCCAGAAAAACTGATCTGTCCGTACTAGCAGGCCGCTCTGCGGTTGATCGGGAGTTTCTGTATATAGAAGAAGGTGCGTGCGCCTGTTGGTGAGGG